TGTGTGTGTGTGTACCAGACTGGGGTTTTTCATGAGGAACAGACAGACAGGGATGCTGAGCGACCTCTTCAGGCTGAAGATACACACATTCTCTGAACATAGAGTTCGCTATGAAATTGGGATTGCTTTGGTGAATGAATAGCATTTAAAATAATGTACCCTTGCAAAGTAACAGTGATCTTACAGCATGCAGAGATTCACCGAGAAATGTTTTAATTTTTTTATTTCTTATGTTTAACAAAATAATACCTCTGAATGTAAAAGACATTTACAATAAAAGTATTTAAACACTGGACACTTTCACATTATTAATACGAATCCATATAAATATCAGTTAATAATACAATATATACACAAGTATTTTGTATGTTCCACAATCCACATACTTAAAAGTTACTCTTTCCACAGTAGCAATTAAAGTGCAAAACATTTGGATTTCACCAGCATGGTTCAAGTACAGATATAAAGTCATCCATCACCACCTCTAAGCACAAATTCACAGCACATACTGAAAATGGAGCAGCACAGATATTGTGCCAGATGAATGTTTGTGTGTGTGTGAGGTGTGATCACATGGCTGGAGCAGATCCACAGTCCTCCTTCACCTCCTAGTCCAGTGGAATGTAGTGGTCACTTGTGTTGTGAGCTCCTGTGCTGTCCGTCTCAGAGACAGAACTCAGCACGCACACAGTCACTCCAGACATGATGAGTAACATACCCAGCACAGCTCCTACATGAGCAGAGAGACAGTCAAAGACCTGTGTAGCTATACTGAGAGAGAGAGTGATGTTAGTAGCACAGAAGCTACTTACTCTTTCCTCCAAACTCTTCTCCAAGCAATTTACCCATTAATAACGTGAACAGAAATGTGAGGGAGTTCACCATGGGAACAGCCAGAGACAGATCTACAAAACAAAACAAAAAACGGCACTTCCAAATGCAACACTAATGCTTGCTAATATGTGTGTACATCCAAAGAGTTTAAGCCTTAATATTTGCAATAAATGTTTTTCATGGCTGCACAGTGGTTATGCTTGGAATACCAGCTTACTAACTGCATACTAAACAGCAAGCATATGCTGCTTACAGTTTAAATTAAAAAGGGAATTTGCGACCAATATCATCTTAGAAAATTGTTTGTCTTTGTGCAAAAATGTTATCTTTTAGCAGCCTGATTCTAAACAGTTTAGTGCATCACACAGTGGTATAGTATTACAGTATTCTCTGAATTATACTGCTATTTTGGACAGTGTAACAGGTCATCCAGATATTCCATGCATACAGAAAATGTTAATATTGTGCTCAGTATATGTACTATATATACTGTATGAGACTGAATACAGCTTCAGCCTCATATATACTGCAGAAATAGTAGTACGATACTATGCTACTAAGAAAAGTTAATACCTAGAAACTTGTGGAGACAATAAACTTCTCACCTGTAGAAGCAAGAGTGAAGTAGAACACTAATGATCCACTTTGGTTCAAGAGGAATGGGACCAAATACTATTTTAAATAATAAATAGGTAAATTCATTACAAATACACACACACATTAATTATAAATACACACACACACACACACACA